TGGATGATGGTGGTAGACTACTAGAAGACGCAAACAAAGGGCCGTAAATCCATTATAAGTGTAGCGCCTATCTCGCTTAAGGTCTAATTATAAGAAAACCATCGTGAAACCTCCTCCATCTGGCACCGGTGACTCACATTTCTATGTCGTCTGCGTTTATGTGTATGTTATTCCTTACAAAAATATTTTGAACTCCTGTCACGACAAATCCAATAGGGAGTGCATCCCGTTTGCTTTTCTCTTTTGTCAAATACGGACACTTTTGAAAGTATCGACTCAACTAAGCTTACAAATTGAATTTTCCATCCACATAATCAAGTAATATTTGTGAAGATCCGTCCAATTCACAAGAATTTGTGTTCCGCGATTTTCATTAGACGCATTTGGTTAGGAAAAAATGTTATGCTTCAGTCTAAGTTGTACAAATAATAGTAAACTAGACACATGAAAGGAAGTTTATACCGGATAATTTTGGCTTGTGAAAACAGCAAAATTGTTTTACAAAAGTTATTTTTCTGAGTATTTTCAGAGCTTTGTCGATTCTAGAGCCCACAAACTTTCTGGTACAATGACACCACCAGCCTCTCGAGATCTGGTTGGTTATTTAGACATAGCGTGCTTTCTTGGCAGCCTCTTGGATTTTCGGCAAGAATGCAAATTAACGTTTTTTTAATTAATTTAGTGCTCAAGTTTACGGATAGCAACTCAAGTTAATTATTCGTCTGGTTGAATGAGTGCAATCGAATTTACCGAATGTTAGACCGAATCTGAGGATACACCTACTTTAGTTGAGGTTTTTTTAAAGGAGTGATTGTTCAAATAAAGAGTTAGACTTTTATGCAAAATCTTTGCGCGAATACAAATTCTGAGCTGCTCAAATCTGGATTGCGGTAATCTTCCGTAATTCTAACAGGAAGCTACCTTCAGTTAAATTCTGCCCACTTCTTTAGTCTACATTCAGTATCTCGTTTGCATTTCACCGAACTCGTCCCTACGGCATTGATTTTCGTTAGCACACAGTTTACCATCGATTGCTTTCGTGCCCAGCCGGACATTTTGTTTGTTCATGTTTGTTTAGACTTTGTAATGACCAAAGCATCTTTTGTAAACATGCTCAACAAAAATGTCCTTTCAACAGTTTATCAATGTGAAAAATAGGTTAATGACCATGGTAACCGATTTTGGCTTTAACGTGAATTTCTGGGACTTAAATAGGTTTTAGTTTGCTATTTAAGAAAGTAGAGTTTCTAACACGTCTAAAATCCATTCTTTTGTCATTTCTGTCCTGAGATGTCCGCTTTCAATGGTGTAGTGACCAAAAGTCAATTTGTGGGCTCGAGTAAGGTTACCTTGTCGGCTAAACGGTTCATATAGAGACAGGTTGCTTTATTCTTAAATAATTCTTGTAAAATATGTCTTGTTTATGGCCGTTGCGAGTTCATCCCTCGTTAATTAATTTGCAAAAAATTGCAATGGGTTCTGAAACCCTGAAAACTGTTGTAAAAAAACATTTGGATCATGGCTTCAGATCATGGACATTATTTTCCTTCAGTCTCGCTATAATCCGAACATGGTATCTCTAACCTGCTTTTTTCTCCTCATGTACACTCCAAAGATGATTTGTTGTTTTATTTTATCCACTGAAAGAATATTTCAGGACTTTCAATCATTTGTAACTGCCAAAAACTCCTTCCTTATTCTTAGTTCTTTAAAGATTAAGATAAACAAAGAGTATATAATTATCTAAACTGCAAACTTTGATTGGTGGTAAATATTATTTGGTACTTATATAGTCATCATAGCCTCTAAAAGGATTTAGAATAACTCACTTCCAAAAGCTGGTGAGCATACATAACATCTTTGCTTTTGTGCATATTTGTATTTTATTCCACTAACTTATTGTTTTAGACTGCTCATCGGTCAATTTTTAATACACAGTATTCAAACAAAAGAACTTCTTAAACATTCTGAAAGGATTATTTCCCCACCCAAAGAGAGCTAGGTGAATTATCGGTCTTGCCGTGAGAGTATTTCGAAAAGGTGGTAATTTATCTCGTTTCTTACTTACTAAGATTTGGATTAAATGACTGCATACAGTCCACAAAGGTAGATTTCAATGTATATGCCTGTAGAAGTTTGAAAAATTCCGTTTTTTCCTAGGCCGACTGGTCCTGCCTCAGTGTTTTTAGCAGCTGCCAAACTTAACAAGAAACGTAAATTAATAGAGCTAACTTCTGTCATTCAACTCAAGCTCATTACACTGTTAGTTGTGCTGACAAAATTCGCCCACGTCTCATCCCGTTACACGAACGTCAACAGCCGTAGACACGGCAGCTGTTCTTCCACCCTCTCCCCTTAGGGAGTTTATTTATGGACGCTGGCTGCCACGCAAGTGTAGTCTTTTTCCCTCAGAGTCGGCCGGACAAGCATTGATTTGGCCTACAGGATTACTGAGCACGACCTCTGCTCATGCCCACGCATGCCCTCGCGTTTGGCCAATCAAATGTTCCCGTAGGCAACTCGTTCACGCGAGGACGCAGCTTCTTTGAGTCTATTGGCCAATTAGGAGTAGAATGTTATTAAGGCCTACAGATTACCTGCATTTATTTCTAGGACTGCAAATAGTGAAATTGTTGGGAAACTGTTTATTAATAGAAAAAAAGGCAAATATGTATGCGAATTGCGTAAACACGCAAACTAGGCAGATTTTGTAATCGCATGCCGAAAGGTCGCAAAACAAATGCTCTCTTAAAAACCATGATGATGAAATGTGTCGGCAAACACGTTTCACTAACATCCACGTTGTCATCTATGAAATTCGAAGAAAACACGCATATATAAAAATATATATTAATCGTAATATTCATTCGTGTTGTTGGTTATAGTACCTTTAGTTTGGGTTAAGGTTTTAAACAATTCGGCAAATAGACTGTGCGAGTGTGGAAAAGGCAAGTCTTCCAGCGCTGTTTGAAGGCAACTTAAATTATCTGTCAGGTTGCGCGGTCAGAATGCAGGTCATTCGAACAAACTGACATTTTTGTCAGTTCAGAAAAGAAATTAGCAAAAGATTGGAAGGTAATAGTGATCGGAACCGCTTTGGACCTTGTCACATTTCTTAGCCCTGTTAACGTTCGAATTTAGTTTAAACCTGTAGTCTAGCTCTAATACGAACGGGTGTTAGGGGAAACTGTCTGATGCGAAATAACACCATCCACTGTTGACCTGAAATCCCTGAATTTGGCTTTATATAAGGAGGAGAGACCTTAAGAGGATGAAAAGGGAGGAGAGACGTGTTTTGGGAAAGTGGGTTGGGTTTTGTTTTAGTGTATTTGAGGTAAAGTACAGTAGATTCCCAATCTCATAAAATATCAGCCAAAATTGTGAAATGTGTTTTCGATTCGAATAAAGTAATTAAGAAGGGTTGTGAGTTTTATTGTCGTACAGTCAAATCGCAAGATATTTTAGTCACTTTAGGATGGCAGCTTTTGAAGGAGCTTCTTTTGCTTGCCTGTAAAAAGTATATCATATAAAAAGGGGGAACTTAAGTAGCATTCATTTTTCTCATTGATTTTCACAGCTCTTGTGAAGTCAAATATATGTTGTAGATAACATACACTAAAATACCCTTTCTTGTACTCGTTCGGTCGCATAGTACATCGTCTTCGAATGTCATACTTGAGGAAAAACTATATTTTGGCTTCATAAAATTCTAAATTGTCGAATAATTTTGACCATGCCGATCATTTCTAAACCACATGTTGTGCGCATACTGTATAAAGAAATCACACATCTAGCATCAATAAATTGACGCATACGTTTTTTATGAAGGAACATTTCGTGGCCTTGAAAAATCTCATAACGCCTTTATGTCGTTAGCGTAGATCACACGGCAAATTCTGAGTCACTGCTGAAGTTGCCTTTGTGTCTTCAATTTTTGCGTTACCAGGATAGACAGTGATCGATTTTTTATCTACCAAGGGAAGCACTCCTCACCATACCCAACGTGGAAAGACTCTGCAGATTCCCACAACTAGATTGTGGTCCACAGCCTGTTATGGACTCAAATGATAAATTGCATGAAGCGGCTTGATTGATTCATTGATGTTGATTCCTTAATGTTGAGCTGTCTTGTGGCTGTTTTATTTCCATGTTCTACTGCGGGACTTATAGCCTTTATTAGGAGGAATCGCAGATTTGCTTAACGGTTAGAGCGTTGGCTTCCTTTATAGGCCTCCTCTAATACGCGGGTTCAAATCCCGCCGAATGCCTCGAGTTTTTTCACAATTAGGTCAACTCAATTAATAGCCTCATTTTGAAATCAGCGTCGCTAGCATGTCTCTCGTCAGCTGCTATTTAGGGGGCCATTAACACACCGTAATAGTATGATAGAACGGCAGGGGTAGCATATGTAGTGGACCTTATACATGCGTAGTCCCAGTCTTGTGCCTTACGGGATCGGTGGTGATAGGAGTTTTATGGGGGGAGAATTAGGATGGACAGTGAAGGAAAGTTGTAGAAGTGAGTATAAAATATCGTAACATGTAGTCAACTTTGGTTAACTTCAGTCGCTATATAGCGCTGGAGCAAAGCGTGTAAATCGACAAAAGTTTCAAAAGGAGCGCTGAAGAGATAAGCCGTATTTGAGAAACCACCGGGAATTAGACCAGAATAGCTGACTACGCTGCCAGTACCAGCCCCGCGTAGCCCCGTTAAATATACCCGAGGTTGAAGGGGGCTAGACTGGGCATCGGAATATAAGCATACGTTTTAATTTGCAGAGCAAATAAGAAACTGAAAGTTAATCGAATTTATTTAGATTCACTAAAGGGCAGCATTTATGCTGAAAAAATACATAATTAATATGCATGGTAATCAA